GTGTGAGGACAGGGTCTTGTCTGTCGTAGGTGAATCCCCGGATCCCAGCAGAGCAAATTGGCTGTTGTTTGTTGACTGCAGGGATGCATGAAGATGCTTTATCTAGATTGTGCACAATCCTCGAAGGTCCTTGCATTAGTTGGGATATGGGTTTGGTTGTGTGTGACAAAACCCCAAAGTCATGGCTCCTTAAACAAAAGAGAGGATGCTTTTTCCTAAGTACCACTGAGCTAAGGGGTTTCTTCTCCACAAAAGCGTGAGAGGCCGAGTTTCCTTCTGTCCTGTGACTCCTCCATCACTGTCTCTACATGATCCGCGATGGCCCCATGGTGGTGTCTATCTCCATTCTGCTACCCATCCTTTAAGGGGGTGCACATGTCACTTGCATTCGTGTCCCACTGGCCAGAATGTAGATATATGACACAACTGGCCGCAGGGGAGACTGGACGTTAGAGTCTTTATTTTGGGTGGTCATCTGCCCAAGAACAATCTTCAGAAAAAGGAGGAAGGAATGTGGGCAGACAAAACAGCGGATGCTCCCTAGCGGGCAGGGGGCGGGGATAGGGAGCGGGCAGGAGGGCTGATTTGTCCCAAGCAGGTCCTGCCTGTGGCCTCTCACAGGTAGACCTCGGTTTCGTGGATCTGGTATCTGGAAGCCTGATTTACACACACACACACACACACACACACACTCACTCACATACACAGAATCACACACACTTAATTACATATCTGGGGTGGTGCCAGGGTTTTTGTTTCTGTAGCTACTAGAACACACACACACACACACACACACACACACACACACACATACACAGAATCACACACATACACATACGCAGAATCACACACATTTACATACACACAAACACACACATTTATATACACACACATACACAAAAACACATGCCCACACATATACACAAACACACATACACCCCACCATCTCAGCCACCCGGTATCAGGTTGCCTTGGGTTCCCCTCCACTTGCTCGAAGGGCCTTTTCCTTCTTCCCTTTGCCCCATTCCCACTCCACCCGCACCCCCTGGCTGGGTGAAGTTTCTTGAGCTATTTTAGCATTTATTTGCTCTCAGTGGCCCCCAGAAGAGCAGCTATAACCCCTCCCCCCACCC